TGAAACAGAAAGGAATGGAGATAGACGAGGGTTCCTTTTTTATGTACAATGCTTATATGGTAAACACTGTATAAAGCTGAAGTGTTTATTTTTCCTGCGTGCCTGTAAACTGAGCTGAAATGCATTGAATTTAAGTGACAGAGATTAAGTGGGAGTGGAAAAGGAGAGAGAGGAAAACAAGAGAAAAGACCGATGAGAGGAAAAGAACCTGAGAGATTAGTGAGTGAGAAAGAGGCGAAGTCACAGAAAAGTGAGAGACAGGTGCAAAAAGCCCAGGAAGATAGGATCGTGGAGCAGTGAGTGTGTGTATGTGTGTCCAGTTAATGGAATACCATGAGATGTGACTGATGCCTTTAACAGCAAAGGCTCCACACTTGTATTCAGGCAAAATCTACAAACAGCTTTGTTTGATTTGTCTTTTTTATTGTATTCTTTTTGTCCCGACGTTCTCAGCAGATGCTAATATTGGTCAAGCATAGCTCTTTTTGAAGGACTTATGACATTCATGCTCGACTGCACGCATTTCGCAGTTCTCATCCATTTTTAACTTTTTTCACCTTTGAAATGAGCAGATCTAATAGAAATTTCCCTGAAGGCATGCTCACAAAAAAACTGGGTTACATGAATTTGAATATGTTTCATGGAAGAAAAGCGCTCAGCCTTTGTAGTTCAATATCTCAGTGGTCCTTTGCTCATTTTAGCATGTGCATTTTGTCATTATTAGGTGCGAATGTGACCCTGACCAGGAATGTAAGTGCCCATATATTCCTTTCTCTGGATGTAGGAGAAATATCATTTTGACTTTGGGCCATGCCAGAGTGAGAAATATTTTACATGCAAACTGAGAAGCCCTTGTTTGATGTTGACAGGAAGTATCTTTAGCTCAATATTCCATTAGAAAAACTGTAAAACTGTCACATAAAGGATCGCATTTATCCACAAAATAAGTTTTAACAACTGACAATGGACACATTTTCACAAACATCACCCGAAGCCTTCTACTCTAAAAACTGAACTCCAACAAACAGGTTCAGCCTTTATGAAAACCGGCGGATGTGAAGCGAGGGATGCAACATGAGGTCCTCTCAACACATTTATCTGTGACTCAGTTCATATTTAGCCACGCCCCCTCTGCTCTGTGTTCTGCGCTATAAATGTTACCGTGATATAAGCCTCGTTACCACACAGCTGCCGTCATGCAAGCACACACAGACACAAACACACACCTTATCACCACAGTTCACTGACCGGATCATCAGTCATGCATTCAATTACATTATGAGAATGGCCTTTATTTGAATACAAGGGACAGTGCTGTGACTATATGCAAGTTAAAGTAACACACAATAGTAGCACTTCTGAAATCACCAGAGGCAAACTAAACATTGCTTGCTTAATTGGTGTTTACAGTTTGTGTGTTATCCAAATATATGGACACAACTGCAGCTAAAGGTATGGTTACATAAGTTTTTCCACGTTTTGCACATTCACAGCTTTCAAAAAGGATGAATTCATGCGAGTAATATTAATCAGTGTCACAAATCACTAAAGACCATTACCACTGCTAATTTGAGATTAGGTGCAGCTGTGGCTCAGCTGGTAGAGCAGGCCATTTACTATTTGGAAAGTTTGTGGTTCATTCCAAGGTTCCTCCAGTTCACGTTGGACAATATACTGAACCTTCTCAAGTGAGATGTATCCATCAGAGTGTGAGTGAGTGTGTATGAGACAGATAAAAAGTGCTTAAAGTGCATAGAATAAAGCACTGCATGAATGTGTGTAAATGGGTGAATTTGGCTTGTAGTGCAGAAACGCTTTGAGTGCTCAGAAAAAGCAGAAAAGTGCTATATATATATATACCCGTCCATTTACCAGTACAGAAGTTTGTATTCTGATAGTGTCTCCAAACTTAGTGCAAACTTTGTGCAGGCTGACTGAACACAGGGTCAGAAGTGAATGTTGAACTGCCCATGAGCCAGTTTTGGCTGTAGATTGTGCTGAAACGGAAAAAGAAGACGAGTGCTTTAAAATGTCCCTTTCTGAAGTGATGGAGTAAATGTTTGCGTGCCCAGCTCATCCAACTCATCACTTGGTCAGAGGGGAGTAGTACAAAGCAAGTTTTATGGGTCAGGAAGCTATGTCGAGCTTAAAGTCAGAGTTTTGTGTGTCATGAAAGAGGCTCTATTTTTTTTTTAACCTGGTTAAATCACCATGGTAACTTGTGCTGAATGCATAACCTGCTCAAGAGCAGAGTTTCAGTGTAAAATTGGAAGTGCCATGTTTTTATTTTTTTTTTATGTGCAGTATGTATTTTGTCCTGTTGAATGTATTTGTGCAACTTGTTAAGCAGGAACTACAGTACCATCACAAATGAAACCCAGCTGTAAAGTTACAGCCTACAGCTTTACTGTGCAGTGCACATTCACTGAAATGTGCACATATTCAGCTGGTGATGCAGAAAATATAAATATAAATATATATAAATATTTTTTATATATATTTATATTTTTAGACTGGATTCTAAGCTTAGAATTGTGCTGCCAAGTCTTTCTTGTTTACTCAGCTGGAATTTCAACTACTGGAACACGTACCAAGAATGCCTTTTCCAGCAATAAAATGAATTTCGCTTTGATCTGCAGACAAACTAAAGGAATTTCCACGTCTCTGTTTTCAGGCTATGGCACAGTAACCTTTAATGTTTAATTGTATCCAATTTAAAGTTCAGAGCTCTAATCTGCAGCAGCTCCTCTTAGAAACAAACAGTGCATTCTGCATTCAAATAATTAACTGGAATAAAAATTGGGTTTTTTTTTACCGCCCTGTGCACTAAATCCCAAGATTAACAATTTTTGACAGCATTAATCTTGTCTTATTTGCAACAGGATTTTATGATACTGTTATGTTTATGTTCCTTATAGAGTTTCTCTCAATTATATCATCATCCCTGATTGGAGGAACCAGCACTCAGTGGTCTCAGTTTTGGGACTTTGTAAAAACATGGGATTTGGTCATTAAATTATCACCAGGGAACATGACATTTAATCTGATTATTAGAATTAATTTGTGTTCCTAAATTTATTTAAATGCCCCACATTGAAATTTTCCTACACTGTAAAGGATGAAAATCAGCATAATCTTAGCAATCTTGTGAGATACCTGGTCAAAATGCTTCAGCTTCTTTCTTAGAAGCTCACTGTCTTTAGAAGTGTTTATTAAATTTAGTTACAACAACAGATGAAGGGTCAAGTTTAGTTTTTTTCCAAAATTCATGTGACGTGATTCATGTACAGGTGTGATATGGACTTGGAATAAAGAATGTGTATAAAGGCTGATACACCATAAGAAAGTCTGCCTGCCACCATGCATAAATCAGATAGCTGCTATTTATACCCTTGGAGCAAATGTTTACATTAAAGCTTGGAAATGCTGCAGCATAATTACTGTCGCTGAATTTATTCCACATAGTGGCTCCAGGTCAGATCCAGGCTCTCTGCTCAGCTGCGGTCAATGATTAAGATACTGGCTGCATATCAATAATCACAAATTCTTCCTTCCCTTTCATCATTCCAAGTTGGATGGCATCCTTATCTCCTTTCCTTGAGCCTCATCTCAATGCCTTTTCTTCTTTCTGCCCTGCCTACCCCTTTCTCTTCTTTCCTTCTCTCTTTCATCCTTTATCCTGGCTTCCTACTATTTCTTCCTTCCATTCTCATTTCCTCCATTCCTCCTCCTCGCCTTCATTTCCTTCTTATCTTTGACATTTCATTCCTATTCCCTTCTACCCCAGCTATCTTTCCTTCTTTCTTCTATGAATCTTTTTGCACCAGATCTTCCCTCTTTTCCAATCTTTCTTCTATCTCCCCTCCCTTCTTTGTTTTCATCTTTATCTTCTTCCCCTCTCTCTCTCTCATGGCCCTTCATCCCTTCCTATCTTCAACCCTTCATTACCCGATTTCCTCGCTTCCTCACTGTCTAGCTTTCTTTCCTCCTTCTATCAGTCATTTCTTGCGTCCTCCCTCTTTTCCTATCTTTCTATATATATTTTATGAATCTTCTCTGGACAAAGCTGCTCTTGTCTGGAAAAAAACATACACTTTTGTATGTTTTAGTTTAGTCGATTATTTTTACTGCTAGTTGAAAATACCTTAATGATTATAAGTTTAACTTTATTACAACAATCAAACGAGCCTTCAACAAGATAACTTTAAAAGTATCTCATGCTAAATATGTAATGTTTTGTACCTATCCTTTGCTACAAACTATAAGAACAAACAAGAAATGAATACAACTTTTAATTAGTGTCGTAATTGGGGTGAAACGAAATAAGGTCAGCAGATTCATCCGAAGACACGCATTGCTAGGAGGGTTTTTATCAAACGCCTGCAGCAGACCAAGCCCCCTCCTCCTGACTAAAACCTTTATATCTTCTTTCTGTGTGAATAAACAAAATTGGCCCAGGCCTCGTATAACCTCCAAAAGTCTCGCTACCTGTAAACGGGGAAACGGAACTGTAATCTGTTTTGCTTAGTGAAATCACATCGACCCTTTTAAAACAAAATTAGCATTCATCAAAATTCATTTGCCTTTCTCCAGATTTTTCCGCATTTCGTTTTTGTTGACCTAGTGTTAGAGTCGTAAGAAAAGAAGTTTTAGTGCAAAAACCTAAAATTTATGTTTTGGCAGGAGATCTTTTGCATATTTTGACGATATTTTTGCTAATCATTCAAATGATAAAAACGAGAAAAAGTTTGGAGTCGACAGCGATGACCACAAAGCACTGGAGGATGGCAGAAAAAGACAAAGTTACTAAAAGACGCCTCGGAGAATGCACAGTAATTCAGCCTAATCACCCCAGAATCACCAAGTTAACTATCAAGACACTGACGCGCAGAGAGGCTCCAGTGTCCTGGAGCCTTGAAAACCATGCAGCCAAAAATCCTCATGCGTCTGTAATCTGCAGAATATACTATATAACTCTACCTTGAATAAACGCCACTCACCTTGCGCCTTCAAACCCACGAGTAAAAGCAGCAAAGTCCATCTCTCCACAGACTGCATCTCTCCCTCGTGTCGTTTGGGGATCCTGTTCACTTTTTTCCTGAAGGAAGCCTGTCTCTTTAATCGATGAGACGAGAAATAATGTGAGAGGGCGTGAAAATGTGCCTCTCTCCCCTGGTGTCGTCTATCTCGCTTTGTCGGTGCGCTCCTTCCTGATATGATCCCAACTTGACTTCATACGTCCCTCCCCTACGAGCGCAAAAATCTCCTCTGGCGCATCCATACGGATCAGCACAGGGAGGGAAAACCGTCCCAACATGCGCAAAGTGATCCCAACACTGGCAAAAAGAGAAATGTCAAAGATCGAAGAGGATATGAACCTAAAATTAAAAGTATGACACATTCAAACTTAAGTGCCACACGCGTAATATGCTGTAATAGTTTTTGGGGGGCGCTCAGTGTGACATTGTGTGATCTGATCCAGATCCAACAGTAAAATCTGCGGATACTTTATCTCATTCCAGCTGCTACATATTGGTTAGAAAGTTGCACGGCACACGCAGGACAGAATGATTTGTTTGTGAGACGGTCAGTGAGTTTTAGTGTGCGCTCTCCGTGGTGCTGAAGTGTACACACAACAGCCAGTTTACTTTATTTGACTCATTTTTAGCCTTCACGGCGTTTTCTTGTTTGAAATAACGTTTTGAAGCACGTCCGCATAAACCAGCGAGTTCGAGAACAAGTACTGCATTAATCCAGCGAGTTTGCTGAATTCCAAAAACTGGAGCTAGACCCCTTTGCATGCTGTGTCTTCACCCGACCACTGAAGTGCAGCACTGCGCTGTTCTGAGGAGGAAAGTTTATCTGCTCGGAAGCATGCTTCCTGCCGCTTTGAAACACGCTGTTCGCATTATAAGCTCCCCAGGTTTCTGTTTACCAGCGCTGATTAAGTTTAATTTTAGCCCATGATTTTACACGCTTGGTTTGACGTCATCAAAGAAAGTCATTAAGGAGAGGAGGCTTAGCGGAGCAGTGCTGAAGTGAACTGAGCCGACACAAAAGCCTAAGGTGAGTGGCGAGAAAGGGAGTGACACATGACTCTGAGACGTGTCCGGGTGCTGCACACGCGAGCTGTCCACACCTGCTTGGGGACACAGACACAAACACATAATGGCGAACAGATGCTTCCTTCAGTCAATATATAGACAGAATGAAATATAGTTTGACTTAAAGTAGAGCATCATTTCCACATCAGCCCCAAATATACTGAAAGTATATCCTACTAAGATGTGCCGTTTGCTCAGAGGACACCGTCACTGGCTGTCAGGACAGTCTTTTCTACCTTACTTTTAAAGAAATAACTAAAAACTTACCTTTTTGTTTGTTTGGTTGTTTGTGATAAGAAATACGTTACCCTTTAAAGGATGATGAGTAATATTAAAAAGATCTGGAGTCTTTTGTAGCTTTAAGGGCCCTTAAAGCAGCAGTTCTGTTTTAGTATCAGAGCATGCTTAATGCTCGTAGTTTAATATGATTTCAAAACAGACTGCACGTGTGTTATAATGTGTAAACTTTTAATGCCCTTGACCTTCTGACATTTTAAAAGCAAGATCTTTTGGTCAAGGTTTTGTATTGATATGTGGCTGTAGGCTATTGAGTACCAAACCAAAAGTCTTTATTAACAAAAAACTATTGAGCCAATGTATAGATCAAAAAGTTTATTAATATTACTTTATTTAACCCAAAATTACAGAGAGGTGAGTTTGCAAAACACAGTTACCTTCTAAAGCAAAACTAGAGATGACCCATGTGTAACATGTTTAAAATTGTGTCCTCCCTTTTAGTCAAACTCCACCCATGTGATCTAAATAATCTGCAAGTCCATAAACCACAGGTGTATGCCTAAGTTATTGCTTATGCAAACACATAAACACACTTTGTCAGGACCAGCCTCTCACCCCGAGGCCATATCATATCATTAATAGTGTTAAAATTCTAAACAATGACTTTCCTATTTGGGAGCTGTCACAGCAGTCAGTATCCCTTCATTTCAACACAAGCAGTCGTCAAAACACTGTGCAATTCTCCTTCTTTTGCTTCCTTCTGCAGTTGGAAGGAGTTTACTGAGTCTAATCCCTCCAGACAAGCTCCACATAAAAAAGGACAGATGAAGAAAAAGAGAATAAGCACAACGGGGATAATGTGCTTTTGCTGTTGCTGGTGTCACCATCTGACAACTGCTGAGCTCACAGTGTGGCGTCATGACACGCTTGTCTTCGCCAGTCTTATTAGTGAAGCAGTTTGGAGGAGGAACTAGGTGCGAGTCAGTGTTTCTGCCAGGATTGTTTAGCGTGACGCACCACAGCTTGTTCCAGTGTTCTGCCCAAGGCAATGTTTAATTCATGTGTTTCCTAAAAGCTGGATGCAGACGTCTACAAGCCATTAGTGTCATCCTCTTGTGTCCGCTCAGCGTCATCCATCCATTTTCACTTCCTCTCTTTCAGTCACCATCTCAATTCACCAACTTTCAATCAGTCATTCTCTGGCCTTCCCTTCATGCTTTTCTTCTCCCTCAGTCCTCTTACCATACTTGATTTTCTTTACTTCTCTCATTCACCCATCTCCTTTCACCTCGTGCTTTTTTCCTCTGCACTTGCTCTCATTCATATAACGTACACTGGTGCCATCTCTCTTCCTCCAGTGAAACATAACACAAAAATATCTATCTCCCTCGCTACAACTTTTAGACCATGTTGAATTATTCACATTCACATATCTGCGCCAAATCCCTTCAACCTGAGAAAAGTGCTTTTATTTTCAACCCTAAGTAATGAAATCTGGATTGCCCTTTTCTACTCTCTCTGGCGTGGTCGTCTTGCAGAGGTAGGTTTAATGGAGCAGAGATGATCAGAGTTTCTGGAAGCTGCCCAGAGGCAGGGAGGTGGACATCATGTCTTCCCTATATTGTGAGAAAGAAAGAGCAGTATAGTATGGTACAGTAAAGAGGTCAGGGCTCCAGAGAGTACAGTTTCTAAGAAGTTCAGTTCTGCTAAAGAAACAACAATAGCCTTTCCCACAATGGTCTGCATGTTAAAATAATGCATAACACATGTACATTGTGATGTTGTAATGCAATAGATGCAGTGAGTCAGTTAAAAAATGACTAAAATGGAAAATTGTTTACATTTTGGACTATCCAAAATCTTTTATATGCACTACGTGAAGTTTACTCCTCTATAAGTTTCATGTGTCTGAACTATTATAGCAATATGGCTTCTTCTTTTTTATTTCCACATCAACAGTCCTGTAATTGTGCTGTTTTAAATCTATTTGCCAGTTTGTTAGGTACACTTGTATCACAAAAGTACAAGAAGTTCTGATCAAATATTTGCATTTAACAATATATAAGAAGATAAGAACTGTGGCCTATCCATAGATTTACTGACTCATTGGACACTTAGCCAGGTATACTTGTCCGAATACTTGTTAAGGGAAATAACTAGTCAGCCAGTCACAGCAACTCAAAGCATTTACGTATGTAGGTATAGTCATGACAACCTACTGCAGTTCAAAACAAGCATCAGAATGAGAAAGAAAGGTGATGTAAGTGACTCTAAATGAGGTTTGTGTGTTGTTGTCTGATGGGCTGGGGGTTGTATGTCAGAAACTCCTGATCGACTGGGCTTTTCTTGCTCAACCGTCTTTAGGGTTTATACAGGATGGTCCAACAAAAACAAATATCCAGTGAGTGGAGTTTATTGAGCAAAAATTACTTATTGATGTCAGAGATCAGAGGAGAATTGCAAGACTGCTTCAACCTTATAGAAAGGCAACACTCACTCAAATAACCACTTGATATAGCCATGTGCCACTCATGTTAGCTAAGAGAAGGAAATTGAGGGTTTTTACATGGCCTCACCAAAATTGGATGGTAGAAGATTGGAAAAACATTGCTTGGTCTGATGAGTCTCAGTTTCTGGTGTGGTAAGAATTTGCCCTAAATAACATGAAATTTTGACTCTATCCTACTTTGTACCAATGGTTCAAGCGGCCAGTGATGTTAATGGTGTGGGGGATATTTTCTTGACACACTTTGTCTCCCTTAATGTCATATTAATGTCATTTAAATACCACAGCCTGCTTCAATACTCAGAAGATGGGTACATTTTGTGACATGGCACATTATCCTGCTGGAAATAACCATCAGAAGATGGGCACACTGTGGTCATAAAGTTCAAATGATCTCAAACTGGTTTCTTGAACATGACAGTGCATTTAAATAGCCTCCAGATTTACCAGACCTCCATCGAATTGAGCACTTTAGGGATATGGTGGAGCTATATGTGGAGAAAACAAATCAGCAGCAACTGTGTGATAGTATCATGTCAACATCGAACAAAATCTCTGAGGAACCATTTCAGTACCTTTTCAAATTAAAGGCAGTTCTGAAGGCAAAGGCGGGGGGTCCAACCTGGTACTAGTAAGGTGTACCAAATAAAGTGTCAGTAAATGTATGTACAAATATTAAATAAGAATTAAAAAAGAATTTCTTGAAAGTGAACCCTTTTTTTATATTATGTTCAGCAATTTTTTCTGCATTCCTTAATTATCTCTTTATATAATCAGAATCGGAATATAGAAAGATACAGAATGTAGACTAAAGTAGATTTTGTTGAGACTGAAATCACAGTGCTGAAATATTCTGTGCAATTTTTAAAAAGCCCCATTATTTAGCGGTTTCCCATGAAATTGTGTTAAAGCTGAATTAAGTTACTTCTTGTGTGCAAACAGAACATTTCCTACTGCTGAAACAGACTTCCACACTGCTGCTGTGTAAATGAAATAAAACCAAAAAATGCCGCGTGAACAAACTTGTTCATGGTTGTTATCCTTAATTATTTCTAACCGATTAAAAAAAATTTATTCATGCAATCTTTTGCATCCTGTTTTATCTGAAACGTATAAAATAAATATACAAATGTTCAACTACATCAAGCGGTTTTAAGAAGATGTTTACCTGTAATCTATCAAAACAACTGGCTGCATCTTAATCAAATTTCACTACCTGTGCCAATGAAAGCAATTTCATATTCGAATAAAAGATTAAAGGCTTAATGCATACACCTACACATACCTACAAACGAACATCTGTTCATTTGTCTTCAGTCATTTGATTGACTTACACAGATGTAGAGCTTTACATG